AGGCGACCGACCGTGCTGGTGAGTGTGCGTCAGGGTTAGTGAATGAGGCGACCGACCATGCTGGTGAGTGTGCTGTCAGGGTTAACAAATAACATGTCAGAAAAATGTAAAACAGGAAGTTTTTAAGTAAAATATATGCTAATCAGCAGAAAAAAAGAAGCAAAACTCCCATGATGTGATAACTTTTTAAATCAGCCCTCTCTACGGAAATTTAATTACTTTTTTTCTGTTAAAAATAATGCCTTTGGAGCCAGACCCAGTGGCTCACGCCTCTAATCCCCACACTTTGGGAGGCAGAAGTGGGAGGATTACTTGATCCCAGGAGTTTGAGACCAGCCTGGACAACATAGGGAGACCCCATCTCTACTAAAATACAAAAATTAGCTGAGTGTGTTGGTGCACGCCTGTGGACTCAGCTACTTGGGAAATTGAAGTGGGAGGATTGCTTGAGGCCGGGAGGTCAAGGCTGCAGTGATTGTGCAGCTGAACTCCAGCCTGTGCAACAGAACAAGACCTTATCTCAAAAGTAATAAAATCAAAGAATGCCTTGGGGAGCATATTTTACACCCATGTGTTGGTTCACCTGGGAGAGTTTCTGTTTCCCTTTGAGAGTGTCTTTGGAGAATGGCTGGGTCAGAAAGTGTCAGCTTCTGACATCTGTGTCTGAGTTGCTTTCCAGGAGCTGCTCACGAGAAGGCCTCACAATACTGTCCTGAGTGTTAGGTGCTGTGACTTAACCCTCTTAAAATGGGCAAGGTTTACCAGTTTCCTTGAAGTACTTAAACCATGGTAGGCTTCTTTTTAGAAGGTCATGAAACAGGAACCCTCTCACAAAAAAAGAACCAAAACTTCTACCTTCTTCGAAAGCGGGTTTAAAAAAATGTGGTTGAAAGTCATTTACAGCAAGAGATATTCGGTAACTGCAATAATGCGCAGTTCCCACTCCAGACTCACCTTATGCTGTCTCCTGAGAGCCGTGGGGTCCAAGGTGTGGTTAATTAGAGCCTGTTTTTCTTTAAGAATGAAATTCTGTTAACCACAGCCTATTCCTAATAATGGCAAACACAGAGTGGGAACTGAAATCCACATGAAGCCACTTCTTCGTCTGAACTCATAACTGTAACCTCAAAGGCGAATTTAAACATGGCTCTGTGAGACCCAGTGCGGTGGCTCACGCCTGTGATCCCAGCACTTCGGGAGGCCGAGGCGGGAGGATCACGAGGTCAGGAGACCGAGACCATCGCCGCCAATATGTTGAAACCCTGTCTCTACAAAAAATACAAAAATTAGCTGGGTGTGGTGATGCACGCCTGTAATTCAGCTACTCGGGAAGCTGAGGCAGGAGAATCGCTTGAACGCGGAAGGCGGAGGTTGCAGTGAGGCAAGATGGCGCCATTGCACTCCAGCCTGGCGACAGAGCAACACTCCATCTCAAAAAAAAAAAAAAAAGGCTCTATGCGGCCATTGCAATAGAGCACTGAGCATCATCACAGGGCAGATGTGTCAGAACGATGTTAACATCTCTCCCAAGGAGCTGGTGACGAGACGGAGGCTGTGACGACAGACCTGCAGACTCCTGCTCCTCTGTGGTCCCAGGTGGTCTCGTTAGGAGCCACACAGCGGCATCAGTCATCAGTCACTCTGCCCATTGTCTGTTTCTGTTTCATAGGAAGAAAACTTTAGGACCAGACAAGAGCATTAAGAAAGCTCACAATGACCATGGTACTGACTTTGAAAAAGATCCTCAATGAAGAACTATTGGTCTATCTAGGTAGAGCTATGTAAAAATGCCTTCTTCATTTTCCATTTTTCTTTTATTTTTTGAGACAGAGTCTTGCTCTGTTTCCCAGGCTAGAGTGCAGTGGTGTGATCTTGGCTCACCGCAACCTCCACCTTCCAGGTTCAAGTGATTCTCCTGCCTCAGCCTCCCAAGTAGCTGGGATTACAGGCACCTGCCACCATGCTGGGCTAATTTTTACATTTTTAGGACAGATGGGGTTTCGCCATGTTGGCTGGGCTGGTCTCAAACTCCTGACCTCAAGTGGTCCACCTGCCTCAGCCTCCCAAAGTGCGGGGGTTACAAGCGTGGGCCACTGCGCCTGGCCTCTTTCGACTTTAAAAATCAACTTCATTGAGGGTAGTTTACATAAAATAAAGAAACTCGTTTTTGGTGCTCAGTTTGAATAATTTTGACAAGTATACGTACCCATGAAACCACCACCCCAATCAAGATAGGAAACATGTTCCTCAGTCCAAAAGGCTCCCTCACGCCCCTGTGGTTCACCCTGACCCCTAAACCCACACCGCCACGGGTCTAGAGATGAGTTTTGTATCACAGAATTTCACTCGGTTGGAATCCCCGAGTGTGTACCTTGTCGTGTCCGGGTTCTCTCTCTTTGGGTGACGTTTCTGAGGCTCACCCAGGTGCCGTACGCACTCCGCGTTCACCCTTCCCAGTGTGAAAGCACGTCCCACTGTTCGGCTCTACCATAATTGTTCGCTTCTTCACCTGTCGAAGGACATTTGGGTTGTTGTTTCCAGTTTTTTGGTTGTTGCAAATAAAGCTGCTGTGAACATTTGTGTGTAGGTCTTGGACCCTGGGAGTGGAATGGCTGCGGCATGTGGGAGGCGTGTCTTTAACTTTCAGAGAAACTGCTCCCTGTTTCTCCAAAGTGGCTGCACCACTGCACATTCCCGGCAATAACGTCTCCACATCTCTGCCAACACTTGGTATTGTCAGTCTTTTTCTTTGTAAATCTTTTCCTTTTTGTCCTTTGCAACAGAGTCTTGCTGCATTGTCAGGTTCCTCTCAAGTCCTAGCCTCCAGTGATCCTCCCTCCTCAGCCTCCCAAGTAGCTGGGATTACAGGTGTGCAGCACCACACGCAATTGTTTTTTTTAAGAAAACTTATAGGGCCGGGCGCGGTGGCTCAAGCCTGTAATCCCAGCACTTTGGGAGGCCGAGGCGGGTGGATCACGAGGTCAAGAGATCGAGACCATCCTGGTCAACATGGTGAAACCCCGTCTCTACTAAAAATACAAAAAATTAGCTGGGCATGGTGGCGCGTGCCTGTAGTCCCAGCTACTCAGGAGGCTGGGGCAGGAGAATTGCCTGAACCCGGGAGGCGGAGGTTGCGGTGAGCCGAGATCGCGCCATTGCACTCCAGCCTGGGTAACAAGAGCAAAACTCCGTCTCAAAAACAAACAAACAAACAAACAAACAAACAAAAAAAAAAAAAAAACTTATAATAGCTCTGTAATAGTATCTGATTGTCATTCTCATTTGCATTTTTCTGACAACTAATGGCATGGAGGGTCCTTTCATGTGTCTAATGTCCATTGGTATCTTTTTCAGTGAAGTGTCTATTTAAACTTTGGCATATTTTTAAGAATGGGTTGTTTTCTTATTATTGAATTCTGAGTGTTCTTGACATAGCTTGGACACAGACCTTTGTGAGCTCTATGTATTGTAACTATTTTCTCCCATTCTATGCCTTGCCCTTTTGTTTTCTTAATGGTATCTGTGAAACAGCAAGCTTTCCATTTTAAATTTTTTAATGTATTTTATTTTGAGACAGGGTCTTGCTCTGTCACCCACGCTGGAGGAAAGTGGCACAATCATGGCTGACTGTGGCCTTGACCTCCCAGGCTCGAGAGATCCTCCTGCCTCAGCCTCCTGAGTAGCTGGGACTACAGGCATGTGCCACAATGCCCAGCTAATTTTTTGAGTTTTTATTCCACTGTATTGCCCAGGCTGGTCCCAAACTCCTGGACTCAAATGACCACCCTCCGTGGCCTCCCAAAGTGTTGGGATTCCAGGCATGAGCCACCACCTCCACCCCAGTACCCCCTTATCCTATCTTAAGCCTTTCTTTCTACTGACTTCAAGTCCTTTTTTTTTTTTTTTTTTTTTTTTTTTGAGACAGAGTTTCACTCTTGTTGCCCAGGCTGGAGTACAATGGCACAATCTCAGCTCACTGCAACCTCTGCCTCCTGGGTTCAAGCGATTCTCCTGCCTCAGCCTCCCGAGTAGCTGGGATTACAGGCATGTGCCACCACGCCTGGCTACTTTTGTACTTTTGGTAGACATGGGGTTTCTCCATGTTGGTCAGGCTGGTCTCGAACTGCTGACCTCAGGTGATCCGCCTGCCTCATCCTCCCAAAGTGCTGGGATTACAAGCGTCAGCCACTGTGTCCGGCCTTGACTTCAAGTCTTTAACTCTTTCAACCAGTTGCCTATCAGAAAATCTTCAACTCCATCTGTGATCCTGCCAACCTTTGCTTCAAGATGCTCTGACTTTCCAGGCCAAACCAAAGTACACTAACCTGCATCAGTCTACACCTTCGCCTACAACTTCTGCCTCCCCAAAATGTGTAAAACCAGCCTGGAACCCAGTTATCTCACGCATGTTCTCAGGACCTCCTACAACTGTTCCCTGGGCCATGGTCACTTGCATTGGCTCAGAATAAACCACTTTCTTCTTTCTTTTCTTTTCTTTTTTGAGATGGAATCTTGCTCTGTCCCCAGGCTGGAGGGCAGTGGCGTAATCACAGGGTCACGCAGCCTCAACCTCCTGGGCCCAAGGGTAAACCTCTCTAAATATTTTACATGTTTGGCTTTTTTGTCAAAATTGCCTTGCCATCTTTGTTTTTTTTGTTTGTTTTTTGCTTTTTTGAGACAGGATCTCACTCCCATGACTGAGGCTGGAGTGCAGGGGTGGTATTATGGCTCATTGCAGCCTTGACTTCCCAGGCTTAGGTGATTCTCCTACCTCAGCCTCCTGAGTAGCTGGGACTACAGGTGCGTGTCACCACACTCAGCTAATGTTTTGTATTTTTAGTAGAGATGGGTTTCACCACGTTGCCCAGGCTGGTCTTGAACTCCTGGGCTCAAGTGATCCACTTGCCTTGGCCTCCCAAAGTACTGGTATTTACAGGTGTGAGCCACTGCACCCAGTCTGGCATTTCTGTTGAAAATAACTTGAGCTGGCTGGGCGCGGTGGCTCACGTCTGTAATCCCAGCACTTTGAGAGCCAAGGCACGACGATCACTTGAAGTCAGGAGTTAAAGTCTAGCGTGGCCAAGGTAATGAAACCCCGTCTCTACTAAAAATACAAAAATTATCTGGGTGTGGTGGTGCACACCTATAATCCCTGCTACTTGGGAGGCTGAGGCAGGAGAACTGCTGGAACCTGGGAGGCGGAGGCTACAGTGAGCTGAGATTGTGCCACTGCACTCCAGCCTGGGTGACAGAGCAAGACTCTGTCTCCACAACACCACCGACAAAAAAAAAAAAAAAAAAAAAAAAAAACAGTAAAAAAAGAAAATAACCTGACCCAATGTAGGTGGATGAAGTTTTATACTCTCTGTGTAACTCAGTTGATCTATGTGTCTAGCCTTTTGCCAATATCACAATATCTTGGTTTGTGATAAATCTTGGTATTAGGTAGAATAAGTCTTCCAACTTTGTTCTTTTAAACTTTGACTATTTGCACTTCCATATCCATTTTAGAATCAGCTTGTCATTTTTCTATAAAGCAAGCCAGAATTTTGCTGGGCTTTGGATTGAATCTATGTATAAATTTGGAGAGTACTGACATCTTAATATTAGGTTTGACAATAACGTGGTATACGTCTCCATTTATTTTGGTCTTCATTTTTTTTTTCAACCACGTTTTGTGGTTTTCACTTGTTAGACCCTTTGGGCTGTTATAACAAAGTACTGTAAATTGGTTGATTCATAACCAAGTCAAATGTATTTCTCACATCCAGAGGCTGGGAAGTCCCAGATCGAGGTGCCGGCAGATTCACTGTCTGGTAAGGGCTGCATCCTGGATCTTCAATGGTGCCTGCTTGCTGTGTCCTCGCATGGTGGAAGGGACTGGCTAGTTCTCTGGGCTCTTACAAGGGCACGAGTCCCATTCACAGACTCCACCCACACGATCCAATCACATTCTACAGGCCCTGCCTCCTGATACCATTGCTTTGGGGGTGACCATTTCAACACACAAATTTTGGAGGTACACACTCCACAGCATCATATAACCATCTGAATCCATCACTGTCTCTCAAAACATGCTCTAGTGCATCTGACAAATTTTTGGTCAATTATTTCATATTCATCAAATTCAAAACATTTTCTAATGTTCTTTGTGATTTTTCTTTGACTTGGATTATTGATTTACAAGTGTGTTATTTATTTAGAATTATCTCCTTATATTAGATTCATTCAAAAATATATTGCTTAATTTCTAACCATGTATTTATCTTTCTGTTAGATACCTAATTTCATTGTGGTCAGAGGATGCATTCTGCATAATTTTAATCCTTTAAATATATTAACACCTGTTTCATGAGCCACCTGTGCCTGTCCCGGTGTGTGCTGCTGCTGTTGGATGTAATGCTACATGACTGTCAGCTTTTAAAAGTGAATTTCCTGTCTGCCTTTTGTGAAACAAAAATAAAATTCTAAGCCCCCTCAGCCATCTGAATGGACCCCTCCTGTCAGGGAGGGCGTTCCAAGGCTAACCCGAGGGGCTGGCTCAGGGCATGATGGGGGCAGGGGTCGGACAGGCCTCATGAGACCCTTTCCCTTTTGGAATTACTGATGAATAGACTCCTTAAGCCTCATGGGAATCTGTTCCCTCTGAAGCTGCTACCTGGAGCCTTCATCTGCATGGGGAAAGTTTGGTCTCCACAGCCCCTTATCACAACCCAGACATTCCTTCCTGTTGATTCCACGTCTTTAGACAATAACTTAACTCTTTCAGCCAGTTGTCAATCAGAAACATTTTAAATCTACCTATAACCTGGAAGCCGTCTCCAGCCCCCTTTCCAGACCAAACCAAAGTACATCTTACATGTATTTGATTGATGCCTCGTGTCTCCCTAAAAATAAATTAGTCTGTGTCCCGACCACCTTGGGCACATGTTCTCAGGACCACCTGAGGGCTTTGTTATGAGCCGTTCGTCACTCACACTTGCCTCTGAATACATCTCTTCAAATACTTCACAGTCTCACTCTGTCAACAGCTTGGAGTAGCTGTTCTTCAGAATGACACTTCGTTTCTCTTGGCTTGCTCGTCTCTGTCTCTCTGCCGTATGGTTCACGGCTGCCCTAGAGGTACCACGTGCATCTAGCTCATCATTTCCTCTTTCCCTCTTTGTGTTGTGTCATACGTTTTATTTCTACATGTTATTAATGCCAAAATATATTTTTTCCTTAAACAGTTGTTTTAAAGAAAATGAGAATGTTGGGAAGCTAACTGTGTGTCTACCCGAATACGCACTGCTGGTGCCCCCCATGCCTCTGGCAGACCCCGGCTTCCAGCTGGCCGAAGAAGCTCCTTCCTCCGCCCGTCTCCTGCCAGAGGTCTCTGTCTGAAAAGCCCGTTCCTTTGCCCTCATTTGGGAGTGCATTTTCACTGAATGTAGACTTCCACATTGACGGTTTTTGCCTCAGCTCTCCATGGACATTTTTGAAGATAAAGGAGCGTGGCTGTCCTGACGACGGCACTGTGCTCACGCATGACTGTGACTCATTCCCTTTTACTGCTGTGTGGTGTGTGTCCGACGCAGCTTTGTGTGTGTTCACTTGCAACAACCCCCTGAGGTAACTAGATTATTATCTCCAATAAAGAAAGGTAAGAAAACCAAGGTTTAAAGCATTTCAGGAATTTGCTCAGGGGCCCCCAGAGAGTGACAGAGGGAGGACCCAGCCAGTGTTCAGGCTTCCCTGCTGATCCCAGTGCTGTGAAGGTGCTGTTCATTCTGTGAAGAGCGGGCTCCTAACAGGCGTCCACCTCCCAAGGCAATGATGCCTCAACTCACAGTGCAGTCGCCTTGGTTCCTCCGTCACCGACAACAGAAACCCTTACATGTCCTCAGCTGTCCACCCGCCCCTTCCCTGGCGACCTCTGTCGGGGAGGACACGCTCCGCTGGGCCTTGGTTTCCTCTGTCTGTTTCCTGGGAAACTTGCCTGCAGTTATTTCTCCTTTCCATATGCTCAGACGCCCCTTTTCTTTCTTGCTTGCTCAACTTGATGCTTGCTCAATTCTCAAACCTGAACAGCCCCCCGGCCTCTGCCTGGCCTGCAGCGACCTCGATCCTCATCCCCGAGCAGCCCCCCGGCCTCTGCCTGGCCTGCAGCGA